CTTATGAAGGATATTCCCTTGGGGGTTCTGGTGGTTCTAGGTAAGTTGTTCTGGGCTTTCCACCTTGTCCTGAATTTGGTTGTTTTGTCTTGGTGTGATTGTACCGGCCACCAGCCAGTTCTCTTAAATATACAACTATGCCTCAATCCCAAGCAAGTTGGGGTTGGCTATAGGAATCCTCGTTGTCCATGCCGCTCTATTTAAGTTCATTGCAGTCCAATATTATATAAAATAAAATAAAAATAAAACCTTTTTTAAAGAAAAACCAGCATGAGCTGTTCGGTTAAACTTTTGTTTGCTTTTAATTCTGTTTTTAGCTGCTAACTGTTTTGATCATGTGTTTGTATCTTGAATGTTCATGTCTGACCTTCAGACATTAACTAGCACTTGTGGTTTTGCCATTCTCCATCTGCTGCACATGAGTTTTTGTGTAGCTTATCTAATTATAGTTGCTCCAAATTTAGAAAACGAGAGTTACAATTTCTTGTTCTTATTATTCACATGTTAAGCTACTGCTGCCAGGTCATCAGGGCAAGACCCTGCTTCCCGGAGAAAAAGTTATGGTTACTATAGAGTGTGTAACTGGACTGCAGGTAGCTCGTGGATCCCCTCTTTGCATGCATTGCTTCTTTCATTTGATTAGCCAAAATTTCGTAGCTAGCTCAGCTTGTACTAAAGTATTAAAGTTCACATTTTGGTTGATGACCTCGCCTCTCTCCTGATATTGAAACTAATGCTGTTGTTTTCCTTTTGCTTCCTTCCCTCCCAACAAAACAGCTGAGATATGTGAAGCCTGAAGCCACCTATTGCCTCCCTTGCACCTAAACCAGAAGACCAGATAAATGAGGATTTGGAAACTTTGGCCTACCTTGATGCTTTTCCTTAGGAGGACCATAACTGAAGATTTTACCTAGTATTGAAATTTGCCATGTCCTGACATCATTCACTTACAAGCTCAAATCTTGTGGTCCCAAGAACCTGTGTAGCCAGCACATCACGCCTTTATCCTTCTTTATCCTTCTTCCCTTTGTGTGGTTGTATTACAAATGAATAAACACAGGGGTCGTTTGGTTTGAAAATGAGTTATGATGGGATAAGTTATGTTGGGATAAGTTATGTTGGGATTAGTTATGATGGGATAAGTTGTGTTGGGATTATTTTTTATTGAGTGTTTGGTTTGTTGTATTCAAAATAATAAATTTTAAGAACAATTTATTTGTTTACAAAAATGCCCTTCATTAATGTAAAAAGTGATATAACAAAAGGGTTGAAAGAGACATTTTTGTCATTTACCTATTTTATCCCGGGATAAGTTATCCCGGGATTACTATACCACCCAAGGAGAGGGATAACTTATCCCGGTACTAATTATTAATCCCGGGATAAGTTATCCCGAACTTGCCAACCAAACAACAAAATAAGCGGTACTATAATTTAATCCCGGGACTATTTGTTATTATACCTCACACCAAACGAGCCCTTAAATATCAGCCTGTCTTGGTATACCTTTTTTCAGTTCAATTTTAATTTGGATGAATTATTGTGGGATTTGCTTATTTAATCAAGTTAGATGTTAGACCTGTTGTCCTCGTGCAGTTCTGTCTAGTTTTGCTGGTTCCTTAGAATGGGCAATTTAATTTGTATCCCGGTATTGGAACACATAAGTCATTGTACAGTATCTTAAATTTTAAATTTTATTTCATCTTCTCTTGTTTGCTTATGCTAACCCTGGATGTTTGCTCAAGATGTGATCATATTACGTAGGTTGTGAGTTCCGATCTTAGTAGCCTTTATTCCCAACCCGTGTAAGAACATATATTCTATTATAATTTGCTTGCCTGATCAATTCGTTGTTCAAAGCATCTTCCGAACTTTTCGATGATTGTTTTGAAGAGGATGTCATGGATACCCAACAGGCATGCAGCTTGAGTTAAAGGTCTGTTTGCATTTTTCTGTAGACATATATTTTGAATGTAATTGAATAATGCATAATAAATATACCAGTAAGTGTAAATTATCTGATCTGATTTTCATTGCCAGTCACTGTGGACCTGACAGTCTCTAGAGAGGAATAAGTTACCGTACGTAAGCGGTAAATCTGGCGGTAAGTTTTTAGTATGCTTACAATCATGTGCTTCTCCTTACTATGTACTAGTTTGTGTGCAATCTAAGATATAATTTCCTTAATCATCAGGTAAAAGTGATTTTGCTCATATATGCACACTATAGGTCTCTCGCTTTCTCTACATTTATTTGACAAGAATGTTTTTTTCAATTTCAAAAAGCATGTGCTTTCATTCCCCCTATTTTTGAGGGGTTGTTTTATTTCAGATGTGAATGTTACAATGCCAATTACCTGTTCTTGTTGATAGTTCAAAAATGTGCCAATTTAGATCTAAATTTCAGGTTGCACTTCTTTCTTTTCATCTTGCCTACAATTGTAAAATGAGGTTGGTAGTTTTCTTCTGATACATTTGCCATTGCAACCTTTTTGGGAAATAATGTTCAATTTAATGAATCATGTGAAGAACAATAATTGTTATAAGGTTAGGGAATAATTTTTGACAAACACAATCAATGGTGTAGAAGAATCCGAAGCTGAGCTGAGATGTTACTCGGCTAAGTATATAGGAGATGGCTCTATCCTATAACTAGGTAAGCCAAGTAAATTTCTTCATTTTTTGTGGGTTTGTATACTGTGAACCATGGATATTGCGATTGACTTAACCAATTTTTTCTCTCAGGTCTGGAGGCAGTGGGATCTGTAAATTAACTAGGCAGTGGTGGATAACAGCTCTTATGGTTCTTTTTGTCAAAAGATATGTACAATTGCTTAGGGAATGTAATCTAAGCAATTGTACATATCTTTGTTGTCCTTGGCTTACCTAGTTATAGGATAGAGCCATCTCCTATGGAACTAAGAGGAGGTTTTTGTTGTCCTTGGTGACCAAACAATTGCATGTCTGGTAAATAAACATGGATATTTAGTGTGGTATATCTACGTCTTTATGTTAAACTAGTCTGGTGCAAGTGCAACAAAATTTCATCAATTTAAAGGGTTACATATCTAAAATAACTTGAACATGGCGTGGCATGATTAGCTCCAAACGCCTGTCCATACTTAATTGACACAGATATAATTCTCATGCATTATTTAATTTGTATGATGTGATGACAATATAAATAATTTTAAATGAGTTGGAGGAAAAATAAATAAATTTAATATATATAAGTTAAATTCATACTACTATGTCTAAGATGTAAGGGTGGCAATGCAGTGGTCACCAGACTGCAAAAGCTGAATCAATGAAATTCATGGCCAGCTTGGTAAAATATGGAGCAGTAAATTTGTGTACCTAACTCCATGCCGAAAGGTACAAGTAGGGAGCCTGATCCGCAGACTGCGTTTATTGCCTTGTATAACATCTTTTGGACAAGTGTTGGTACAACATTTTTTTGGATTCACTGTCTCTTTATATCAAGTTATGGGGGGGATGATAGGGACAGTGGCTAGTCACATCCAAATCCTAAGAGCCCCTCCAAACTAACTTTCCCCTTTTCTCCATTGGGCATTACATAGAAATTGACTGATCTATAGCTATCATTAATGTATTGCTAGATTTCCTTTCCCATACAAGAATCCATTATTTATCTACAACTCCTAGAGGCTGTATACTTTGCTTCAAACCTCATTCGTTTCATGCACTGTCAAAGTTACTTCTTTATTCTTTCTATTCCATTCCATCCAATGAGAGTTAGATGACCGCTAATTCTATTTGCAACAGGGAATGTTGGATTTGATCTCCCTCCTAAATTGGGGAAACTACACGTTTTATTCATGTTAAAGTCTTGCATGAGGGAATAAGGTTATTGAATTGCAGCCAAGGATGACTTGCCGGCAAGCTCGATCAATTCTGCTTCATGTCTGGCAAGTCATTTTTGGCTACATATCTGCCTCATTTTCTCATGCCAGAATTCATATGAAATAGCTATTGTTGTGGATGTCAAATCAGCAATTGTGGACAACACTAAGGAATCTATGAGACAACGGGTAGACTATATATATCCTTTGCTTACATTTTTTATTTGTGAAACACGTCTCTAGTTATTAATTAATATGTTAGCATTAGGTTATATATAATTGTAATTTAATATGCAGGGAGAAAGTATCTCTCATGTGCTTCAACAGGATGTTAGGGACATATGATATGTTTTGGATCATAGACCGAATCCTAATTAATATAATTAGGTTAATTGTTAAGAGTTTGTTCGACAGAAACATGTGCTAGTGGATGCTGCTAGGTTTGTAACAAACTTGCACTGATATCTAGTTGCCATGACTCAAAATCCTATCGCCATCCAACATCAATTTATTGAAGAATGTTTAAATATTTTTCTCAATAATGTCAAGTGTACTGTGTAATAATAAATATATACTATAGGTCAAAATGTACTGTTTATACACATTAAAAGTTTGAACAGGAATTCTTGGCTTCTCAACTGGACACAATCATGGTAACATATACATCACAATAACTAGTGGAAAAAGGAGAGGAAGTATTGAACACAATTTAGCTGATGATGAGTTACTTTGTGTTTTAACAGTAAAACATGTGTGGAACTAGGAAGGTAGGTCATGGACCATGAAACGTTTGTTGACTAATAAATGTGATGTAAGATAAAATACCAAAAACAAGTTATCCTTAATTTGGTTTATTGTGAGAGTATGTTCTTAAATTTGAAGTTGTAGGTTCCTTTTTCAAATTGGCCCATTCTCCCAAAGTTTCATTTTAGCATCTCACTTTTATCTCCACGAGTTAAAGATTTGATGGGAAAAAATAGGTTGTTTTGTGAATGAAATTTTTTAAAACTTTGAATTAATTTGTTATTATTTAATAGATCAATTTTCAAAATATTATTTCAAATCTTTGAGCCAAAATCTATATATGAATTATATCACAATCTACCAATAACCTTTACTGATCTACCGACTACATAACTAAAATAACATTTGTAAATACCACAATCAAACTGTAAGTAACAAAATTAGTAATCGATCAACCACATATGACATATAGCTCTGTAAAATGATTTATTACAGACCCCAAAGTAAAAAACATAGAAAAAAAGGAGAAGATGTTCATAAACAAAAATGAAAATAAAAAGATCTAAAGGGAGATGAAACCTTCACGGACGAGAAGACCAAACATGAGAGTTACAAGACCAGTTGTTATGCTCTGTGTTGGAGTCATCCATGTTTGCGAATATGCTCCAAGCGTAAAAGTTGCCCCAACTATTCCGATCAAAAATGAGATCATGTTCTGATTCATCTTTCTTTTTTTAAAAAAATCTCTTCGTCTTCTGATCTAATTCTTTGCAATTGCTGAAACAATTAGTTGAATATAAAGAGACAACTAATAACCATCCAACTCTCTCAAGGGACAAAGTCAACTCCACCTTGGGGAGACCAACACGCTTTTGTTTATTACTTAATTCATCACTTCATTTTTACTTGTTCGGGTATTGATTTACTAAACTAATTATTTTATCAATGAAACTTTGAAATTCTAATTTGATTATTACTGTTTTATGTAGTTATATTGAGGGTAGAAAGGAAAAAATATGATAAAATTCTCATGATGTAGGAGTCAAGTAATATGAAACGGAGAGAGTATTGATATGGCCATTTATATTTGTCATTTCACTTATCACACAATTTCTTACCTCTTCTTTTGATATTTGATATGAGTTAGGTACGCAAATGTGCAGAATTTCTACGCGTTTACTTTTTTATATATATTCTATTAAGCTGTCTAATCACGTTTGTTGATAAAATGACCTAATATTGCATGGGAATCAACTAACTTGTATACACTCAGTATGTTATCAAATCATCTAGACGTTAATTATAGGAAACAACACATGATAAGTGAAGTTAACAACTCATAAAAGAAGGCATAATACATGTTATATAAGAGGTTAAAATAAACCGACATTGTGAAAAAAATAGGGAAAATCACTTACGTGTACACTTTTTAAAAAATATTTACGATATTCGTCAATATTATTCTTTTAACCATATATAACAATTTGGCTGAATGACAGTATTGCTAAAAGTTGTGAATGACAGCACTTTTTGCTAAGTTTAAAAGAATAAAATTGTTTTAGGTAAGTATTGCTAAAAGTTGACAAAAATGGTAATAAATTAAAAGTATACTTAAATAAAGTAATTTTTCCAAAAATTTAAAATGCAGAATCATATATAAGGCCCAATAGACTGGCCCCGGTGCTCAAATCGGGCTTTATTACGAATTCGCAACCCATTAATGATTGGAAACATTATAGGAAAAATTATATAAAATAACAACTACTGATTCAAATTAAATGTTATAACCACTGTTTGATTTAATTATTTCCCGTAGCAAACTGTTGTCATTCGCCTCTCTCCCTCCCAGAAATTCTCGCTCACCACTCTTGTTTTCTCTCTAGTAGTCTCTCCCTCGCCTCTCTCACTTTTATACAAACACAAATGTATAAAATGTGTTTGTATTTGTATAAAGTGAGAGAAAACTATATATATACATATTTTTTCGTTCGCCTCTCTCCCCAAAGAATCTCGCTCGCCACTCTCACTCGCCTCTCTCACTTATACAAACACAAATGTATAAATTGTGTTTGTGTTTGTATAAAGCGAGAGAAAATTGTATATACAAATACATATATTTTCATCATATACACTTATAATTATAGAAATATAGATTTACCCCTGCCCAGTTTTCTTTTGTCTTTCTCTCTTTCTCGCTTTATACAAATACAGATTATACAATTGATTCTTTTGTATATGTATACTGAAACATGTTATACAATTGATTCTTTTGTATATGTATACCGAAATATACATATTAATAGTCATAGCAAACATAAAGTTTGTTATGGAGCGCAATTATACAAACTATAGTTATAGCATATAAATATGATTTTTATGTTTGTTAAACCTAAAATTTACTCAAAGTTATATAACTAAGCTAACATTTAGTACTTAATTATGCTATATGACTATAGTTAGGGGTGTACATAGGTCGGTTTGGTTTGCTTTTTCATTAAAAAAATCCAAACCAATTATGTCGGTTTATTCAATCTAAAAACCAAATCAAACCACATAAAGTCGGTTTTTTCGGTTTCGGCTTTAGTCGGTTCTTTCGATTTTTTCCGATTTTTTGGTTTTTTTACAACTATACGGTATTTGAAAAAGAAATCCAATATATTTTCACTTACTTGTGTGATAAGCTAAACCTAATTCACAAGAGTACAAAATATATTTTTTTAAATATCAATGTTCATTATGTTAAATTAATAAGATTAAAGGCTACATGCAAACTGAATACAAAACAAAATATTTACAAAGTAAATTGTTAAGTTCAAATTTGAAAAACTATAACAATATAATTGTAACTTCGGATCTTAATACAAAATAAAATATTTATAAATTTTACAAGCCCAAATTTAAAACTATAGTTATAAGATGTAATTAGGCAAACTGTAGCTAAGGAGCCTAATTAAGTGCCTATTTGGATGGACTTTTAAGTTGGTCAAACTGACTTAAAAGTCAGTTTTTGACTTGTGAGAGTGTTTGACAATTATAAGAACAACTTAAAATAAGTTAAAAGTTAAAAGTAGGGTGACCCCTACTTTTTTTTTAAACTTAAAATTCATTGTACTTTGACCAAGTATATTACTTTTCTACCCTTAATTCTTTTAAACAATTCCCAAATTCTTTCATGTGAGCTATTCAAAATATATATTTTTGAAATTTAAAATAAGTTGCACATTTAAAATTAACTTAAATATTAAGTTATTGAAATTGAATTAAAATATAAATTAATTTTGTTTTAATTTCTCTTAGAAATAAAAACCTTAGATTAATCAAGTTTTTATTATGTTAACAGTTTTAAGGGTATTTCAGACATTTTAATAAAAAAAAAGTGTTTAACAACACTTATTTGCCAAACACATCAACAACTTTTTTTCAACTGCAACACTTTTATTCAAACACATAACTACTTATTTTTAAAATAACTTTCAACACTTTAAAAAAAAAAAAAAAAAAAAATTTTTGCTAATCCAAACGGACTCTAAGTTTCCTATTGTAGCTATTTGTGAAAAATTCCCTTATAGATTTATGAGGGAAAACTCATGCTGTGGAGAGGCCCGATAAAGATTTTGTAAGAGAAGCCCATAATTAAATTTAAAAGGGAGATTCATTTCAAGTTCCAAAAGTCAGGCCTTTACATTAAAATTAAGGAGATAGTCAATTATGATTAAATATAAATATAAATTTTCTCATATCAGTGTAGGTCTAATCATTTTTTGGATTACTGCATACATTTTATTTATATTTTGTTGAGTGCTAAGATCTTTCATGTGTCAATATGCTATTGCAAATAATGTCTCTCTTAATATGGTCATTTTTTAATTGAATTCTTTTTAAATTCTGTGACATTTCTTTTTTTATTATTATTATTTGTATTTCAATTTGCTCCTCGAATTTTCTTTAAAATAATTTAATTATTTTACAAGAAAATAGGAGGCAAGTCATAAAAAGAAAGTAAAAAATGTGAATCACAAAAGAGGACAAACCTGAGGGTTTAAAATACAATGGACTCAGAAGTTTGTATCTAGTCTATAGCAGTTGAAGGACTTGGATGATGTTAACCTTTTGTAGTAGTTCTAATTTTCAAGAATACAAAACAAGCTATTTGGTGCCAATATAAATATTTAAAAATTTTTACTGCCATTTTAAAAAAATGTTATTTAATGTCAATTTATAGGTTGTTATGGTGTGCCAACTTTTCAAAACGGATGCTGTGGAGAGGCCCATTAAAGATTTTGTAAGAAATACCCATAAATGAAAAAAGAGGGTTGAATAGGTGTCCAAAAAGTGTCGTTTATTGAGTCGAAATAATCGAATTCATTGATACTATATCAACTAAGTATTTTCTTTCTTCTACTAGTAGGTGTGATCAATGCGATTAATAAATATGCTATCAAACTATCAATGAATTCGACTCTATAAAAGACACTTTTTGGACACCGTACCAAAGTAGCAAACTGTTTACCTTTACCGTTGACTCATTTATTCCATTCCAAATAGTATTCGTTTTGAAGTCGGACTCTGATATGTAGACCCGTCAATATGGGCTAGGCCCGTTGGGTCAGCCTGACCTAACATGTGATTTGATAGGGCTGAGCTACAATTTTTGGAGCCCATTTAAGAAAAGAGTTTTTTAGCCCGGTCTAAATAAATCTGTCATTTATGGGGCTTGAGAAATATGGATAAGTCCGGCTCGTGAGCCAAATAAAAATTAATTAATAAATAAAAATAAAATAGAGTACTAAAAATAACAGGAGTCTACACTCAAAATCTGTTTAAAGTTTAAAATATTACAATTTAAATACAAATTATGTTTATAAAATATGTATTACATAAAATAAAAAATTCCTAAAATTTCTAGGGAATCACTACATAAGCCATAACTTATGGAATGTTATCATAGTTTTTGTGTTTTATTATAATCATTGAAAAACAATTAGGTTAATATTTCTATTTAGCTATTTATGTTTTCGCTTGAAATCAAACTTAATAAATACTCCATATGTCTCAATTTATGTGACTTACTTTCCTGTTTAGTCAATCCAAAAAAGAGTGACACATTTCTATATTAAGTAACATTTTAACTATAAAATGTATATTTTACCCTTAATGAAATGATTTACAACCACACAAATTTCTATCATTCATTTTGGACCATAAGTTTTAAAAGTCTTCTTTTCTTTCTTAAACTTCGTGCCGAGTCAAACTACCTCACATAAAATGGGACGGAGGGAGTATTATATTGATAATTTTATTTGTGTATTTGATTAACAAATAGTAACACTAACTCCATGTAATATTGTCTTGTCGATAGTTATAGTAATATTTTAAAATTATAATTTAATTAAAAAAATTATAAAAACTATACTTTTAAGAAAAGAGAGCTGACCCAGCAATGCCCGTAGCTCATGCACTTATGGACTGGGCCGACCATTTTTTGGCCCACATAAAAAATGGACTAGCCCGGCCTGACCCGTCAAATTGCAAAGTCTGTATGGATTAACCTGGATGGGATGAGCCAACCAATATTGACAGCTCTACTGATATGAATGCATGTCTAATGAGGTAGCTTTTTCATATTTTTAACTTACTTATTAATAGAAAAAGTATGTTTACACCAAAATTAGAGGATGATATATAATCCTATTTTAAATAATTCAATGTAAATAAATATTTATCCCTTTAATTAATTATTTTGCAAAAAT